CGGGGCTGCCCCGGCCATGGGGAAGCACTTGGGGCTGGGAAGAAGCCGGCTGCGGACACAGCTGAGATGTCGCTTCCGCTTTCCCAGCCCGCGGGGGAGCCGCCTCTCCCAAAGGCTTTTCTATTTCTGGCGGCCCCGCCATGAGGTTCCCATTCGGCTCCTCCCAGGGGCGACGGCCTCGGCGGGGGCACGGTCCCTCGGCGGGGGCCACGGAGAGCGGAACAGGCCGTGCTGCCGCCCACGCTGGGAAAGCAGCCCCATGCCAGGCAGTCCCTGAGAGCAAGAGGGGACAGGGGCTGCCCAGCTCCCCCTGCCCTACAGATCCCGCTGGCCCCGTGACGCCTGGGTCCTGCTCCCTGCCCGACCTCCCAGCCAGTGCGGGCACAGCCCCGCATCCCTGTGCATCTCGCGGGGTTGTGGACCAGGCGGGACCGGCCGGCGGGGCTGGTGCTCTCCCAGGTGGCATGGCGGGCGGGCAGCGGTGCCGGGATGCTCGGCAGCGCGCCAGGGCACTGGGCTCTGCTCTGCACTTGTTTGCGCGTGATGAAATCTCGCTGGCAGCAGTGGGGCCCCGTTCCCTCCTCCTCAGACCTGGGCAGCGGTGAAACCATCACCCCACCGTGAGCACCCATGGCGGGCAGGAGCCTCCCGGGGCTGGGCATCCCGGCCCGTGTTGCCTGCACCCCGCTTCCCCAGGGATTTTCCCTAGCGGGAACGTGCTTGCAGGGAGGAAGCGGGGAAAGGTCGGAGAGCCGCGTCTGGAAAACATTTCCCCGAGCTGAGTGATTGCTGGAGAGTTTCCCTTTAACCACGTCGTTAATCTTGTTGCTTCACAGGGCTCGGGGAGGCCTTTTCTCCCTCTCAATCTTGCTTTTTTTTTTTTTTTTTAAATAAGCATATCTCTCAGCCCGAGGGCAGTACATACCCGTGGAAAAGGTCAGGCTGGCATGGGGAGGGCTGCGTGCAGCTGGAGGAGCCCCGGCTCCCAGCCCCGGCAGCTCCCCGGGAGCAGCTGAGGCTGGAGGGGGGCACAGCACCCCCGCCACGGCTGGCACAGGGCACCCAAGCAGGAGAGGCTCTGTGCAGAGGGCAGGGAAACCAGGCTCATTCCCCCTTTGCCCCGTGGGTGCTGAAGTGAGCTGGGCTCGCCTGGGCTTGGAGGGGTCCCACCAGCCTCGTTCCTCACCAAGAAGGGCAGAGTGGCCGGGGGGGACCGTGGTGCTGCGGGTCACCCCAAAACTCTGCCCTGGAGCAGGAGGAACCCTGGCCATCCCACTGTCCCGGTGCTGGGGACCCCTTGGCCATGGCTGGATGGTCCTGTGCCACCTTCTTGCAGCTGCATGCCTCCCCTGTCCCCATCCCCATCCAGCCCCAGCGTTTCTAAGCATCCCCCAAGCACAAGCTGGGGGGTCCCCAGGGCCAGAGGTGGGGGGGAAGCCCCCTGCACCCATGCCGGGGGGAGCAGCCCCTGTGCCACGGGTGCCCGGCGCCCCCCCCCCCCCCGCCCCCCCTGGGGCCCCCCCCCCGCCCCGAACCCCCCCCCCAGACCTGGTGGCTCCATCAAATGTTTGTGTTTGAACTAAAATTAATTCCTCCCGAGACGGGAACAGCCGATGGGACGGGAGACGCTGCATGTCCCCACATGTCGGTTCCTCGCCATGTCCCTGTCCCTCCCGGTCATGGGGGGGGCTGCACATGGGGAGGGGGGGCCAGCACCCCAGCGCTGCGGATGGGGTGCCTTAGGGAAGCTGGGTGCTGGGGGCACCCGGCAGGGCTCCCCAGGGCCAGGGCAGAGCAGACAGGGATGCAATGTTGTTTACAATCCGTCCCTGAAGCCGATGCCTCCTTTGAGCCCTGGGTTGTTTGTTCAGGCCTGGAGCCTGACCAAAACAAGCCTCCCTGGGCAGCTCCGGTTAAATTAGGAAAGCCAAAGAACAACAGAAAAAAAAAAACAGCTAAAATCTGCCTTTGCTGGAGGGGCCATGCTGCGGGATGGGACAGGACGGGATGGGATGGGACGGGACGGGATGGTACAGGACGGGACGGGATGGGATGGGATGCTGGCTGCCCAGTGCCTCACTGCCTCCTGCTCCTTGGGGCTGCAGTGTGGGGCATCGCTGCCCACAGCTGCCCAGATGTGCAGCCCTGCTTTGCGCGTGGCTGCCTGCACTGGGGCAGGGCCATGGGCACCTGCGGTGGGAG